GACAGACTGAAGGAATTGGTTCAGCTCTTGATCCTGTCTTGGGTTTGATTCTAAAAATCTTCAGTTTCTTTTCATTTTTATCAGTGTCATTGGCAATCTGCTCGATTTTCCCACTTGAGGACAATCTGGGTTCCCTGCTGAACAATTAAAGGGGAACGAACTTACAAGAGCAAAGTAAGTAACGGCAATGTTGTGATGTGTCAATGTCGCTTCTATTTGAACAAAATGAAAGGTGCATAGGCCTATATAAATAATGAGAGTTAATTTTGGTGAAAATTATATTTTATAGATGCATTTTAACCCTGTTTAGTGAACTTAATAGAGCTTTGGTTAACTTCCCCCTCAGCACCTGCAGTGAGTCCCAGCTGAAGCAGTGCAGTCACTGTGCAGCCTGACTGAGGGAGGTTTTTGTACGGCTCTGTATCACTGTGTGAACATAGGACCACTATGGACACTCTGACAGTAATAATCTCCTGCATCTTCAGCCTGGACTCCACTGATGGTCAGAGTGAAGTCAGAACTAGATCCGCTGCCACTGAATCGAGACGGAATCCCAGAGTTAAGGGTACTTGCGTAATAGATCAAGAGTTTAAGAGCTTCTCCAGGTCTCTGCTGGTACCAGGCCATGTGGTGGCCATTACTATTAGTATACACAGAGCTGCTGGTTTTACAGTTTATAGTGACTGTCTGTCCTGAAGAAGCTGATATCAGCTCTGGAGCCTGAGTCACAGTCACTTGTCCTCTGGATTCTGAAAAAGAAAACAAAATAAGAACATGTTTAATACTGAATCCATCCATCCATCCATCATCTACCGCTTTTCCGGGACAGGTGGTGGGGGCAGCAGTCTAAACAAGATGTCTATTTCAAATATCTAGCAAAGTTCATCAAGCGATATGTTGCTAAATCATCAAGCTTGTTCTGTTTTACCGTGAGTGAGGATGAAGAGCAAGATGCTGAGGCTGATCCAAGTCATGTTTGTTTGGAGTCTGTTGTGATGAAGGGCAGCTGTCAGTCATGAAGTGTTAAACCTCCTGGAATATAAACCCTCCCAGAGCACTGAGGCATGAGCTGAAAATGCAAAGTATCTTCTGACTGACATCATAACTGCAGAGGGAACATGAGACTGTGTCAGAGATGGTCAGGGGGCATGTTGATGAGTTCAGCTACTGAAGGGAAGAAGCTGTTTTTGTAGTATGTGGTTCTGGTCCTGATAGACCTGAGTTTCTTGCCAGAAGGTAGTTTTTTGAACAGTCCATGTCCAGGATGTGAGGGATCGGCCACAATCTTACCTGCCCGTGTTGGAGGTCTGGAGGTGTGTAGGTCCTGTAGGGATGGCAGATTGCAACCAATCACCTTCTCTGCAGTCTGCCCTTGTCCATGGCAGTGACAGCAGTGTACCAGAGGGTGATGGAGCGGGTGAAGATGAACTCGATGATGGTTGTGTAGAAGTGCATCATCGTTGTCCTTTATGGTATGCCAGAAGACGTCATATGCGAGTGGGGACCGCATTTTACTCAAGAATCTAGAAGACATTTTGTCATAGGATGGGGATTGCCTTGAGTTTGTCATCTGACTCCCATCCACAAACCAATAGTCAATTTGTCACACACTGCATCCCTTCCCCTTCGCTCTCTCCATACTTGTTTAATCTCAAATATCGTTACAGCCCTTGTGTGGATCACCCCAGGTACCCCTATACTGCTCCTTCATCAGTGATGTATATAGTGTCTCCTTGTCTCGAGCTCCCTAGTCCAGTCATTGATGTTGCTGTCTGTCTGTGCTCCCCAGTGTGCCCAGTGTCTCGTGTGCCCTGTGCCCTCCCTACTCCGTGATCTACCCCTCGTGATCTATTTCCTTTTGCCCTGCCTGTAATTTTATTTAATAAAGCCCCTTCCGGATTTCCCCACGCCTGCCTCCGCTTCCGTTCTTACCTGTGACAAGACACAATGGGAGCATCTGAATCAAGACCTCGGTTGGTTCCACTACTCATTATGTGCAAATAATCAGTCAGACTGATGACAGTGTCTCTTGTGGGCAGAATATGCTCAGAATTCCTTGTTTCATGCCTCTCTGCTCCTAATGCAGCTGTAGTGTGTGAAAGGTTACC